TAGTTGCAGGTGCTTTTGGGGACTCTAAAGCAATGGTCCCTGGCTCCAGTCACAGCAAACTGGGCTTCCATCACACCTGATGCCCTTGTTGAGGTTGTCGTGCCATTGGCATCTTTCACTTGGCAAATCGCTGTGCTCTTTTCGTGTTCTCGTTCGAGGACCAAAGACATTGATTATGCAAAGTATGTCCACAACTTGCCAGCATAGGGAAAATATAGGGCTTTGGCCTTGTGTTGAGTTGGTTCACCCAAGCATAGCCTAACAGCGCTGGATTCAGTTTAATCTAACCTCAAGCTTTGATGTTCCCAAATCATGCTTTCTTGTCAAGTGTTTAGGAACCAGATACATAAGAATGGTGGTACTAATGATATTATTCTTTTGTAGGTCAAATAAATTATGCAATCCTAGGATTTCCTTTCATCAGCATGTATGCATTGCCTTGGGTTTCTTTATGATCACAACAGATGTATTTTGGCACCTCTCAAGTCAGTATTATAAAGTTTTATTTAAAATTTCATTATAAAATATAGCTGTTATAAATTAATCATACATCTGGGTTCAGAAAGAATTCTGCACCTCACCACTTTTTATAACCTTATGATGTAAGTCCCAGACACCATGACAACCTCAGGGTTTGATTAGAGTTCAACAGATCTTTTGTTGTTTGCATTTTTATTTTTAATTATCGTAAAGGTGCTTACGCAATTCAGTTTTAAATGAATAACAGGATGCATTAAGGGGCATGTGAATTTTTCTTTGTTGTGATGAACATAAAGTCAAAATAATGCAAGCCATTTTGTAGGAATTGCCCAACAGCAAGACAAAAATGCGAGTTAAGAGTGCATCCCAATGGTGTACTTTCATATCAGACAATGACTTGAAGTTTGAATGGTTAACAATTGGGTGAGAGTGATTGAAATTAAGAAAAATAAAGTGGTGGGCAGAAATTAATCTGTTAGACTGTCAGGATAGCTTATAAACTTCTTTATTCTTTTTGTTCTTTGTCATTTTGTTTTACACTTCATTATTCATGATTCTGAAAGGCCTGTCAATCAAAGCAGTCGCAGCAGTGAGAAGATTGTCAGCTGAATCAGGGACGGGTCCATTTACTTTTACTTATTTTTGTTGATCAGAATGTATTTTTTTTTCTGGCACATGTAATAATTCATTCTCTACCTTGATAGAACTTCCAGTGCAGATCTGACTTCACTGCGGCTGCGCGAGTGTTTCAGGTTCATAAGTTGCCTCATGTTAAAATGCAGCGACTTCAGCTCATTTTATGAAAAGCTTCATAAGTATTAACAAATGGAGTCAGCAGAGGATGGATTTAAATAGAGGATGGATTTAAACAGGCGTCCTCATTCCTCATTAATATCGAAAACAAGCAAAGATGCTAAATGGACCTGTAAACCCCACAAACATTGAGAGATGTCTGAGAATTGTGTTACAGCAGTATGTTTGAGGCGAAAAGAGAATCCACCCTGATTACATTCTCCAAATTCAGTTATTAGCTCCTTGTGAAACATGCAGTCTCAGTTTAATTGCAGAAATCTGTTGCATCTCTTCTGTATAAAAATGCAGATAAGTTGAATGAGAATTACAGTACCAGAAAAGATGAACGACGATGTTCTAATGAACGTGGGTAGACATTTTTCAACCAGAGCAGGGTGTTAAGGGATTTGAAGCATTCTGACATCTCCATATGTAAAAAAGGACATAGGGTTAATCAACAGCATGGACATTGTCTCATGTGTCATTGGCTTTTATGATACTAAAATTGAGACAAATGCGTGTTTGTTTCTCCTGCTAACACAGTCTGTGGGTTAGAACAAACATATTAGTTGCAGACTCCAAAGAGAGGGCATTGTGTTCTATGTCTACCCCCACTTCACCGGAACTGGCATAAGCCAGTACCCATGGTCAAAATAATGCCAGCGCTTGTGCCAAGTGAGGAACCCCTACAGCCCAATGTCATCCTCCTCAATCCCCAGGCCTACCCCCAAGCACGTCTCGTGAGCTCCTTTGCACGAGGGTGACGAATGGAGAAAGCCGGGTTATTGCTGGAGTGGCCCGATCTGAGCGGCCTAATCAGGCCGAATGGGGGGGCCTTGGGGAGGCCATTACCCTTCTATTGTTTCAGAGGACACAGGGAAAACGACAGTGGCTCAAAGCCCCCCCCATAGGAAGGAGAACAGAGTGATCATTAGTTGTACAGTTCAATGTAGTTTGTCAGAGGTAGGGAAAAAAAACATAATGCCAATGAAAGTGTTACATTTTCATGGGACTCGAAGTTGCCAATGTCAGACTCAGGTCCTAACAAATGGCTGAACAACGGATTCTGCTCTGCGGGGTTCTATACTAAAAACGCCAAGTGCGGACTGTGTGTGGCACGTACCAGCGATCAAAACAAACAGAACCAAGATACTGTCCTTTAAAAGCAAGTCCTGACCCTTTGTCATGGCTAAGGAAGTGAGTGAGTAGAGGAGTGGACTCCTGCAGAGAGCTGTCTCGTTCAGGCTGTAGCCTTAGACAGATCTTAAAAAATCCAGTTGAGGTCTTCTGTAAAGGAGGAAGCTGCCAGGAAAGGGTGCTGCCTCATTGCCTAAAGCTAAAGTTACTTGTCCGGATTTTTTGCCCACCTCTACACTGAACCGGCGAGCCCTAACGTCCAGTGTTGCCTGGCTACGTCCCACAAGACACTTCACCCCTTTCATTCACAACTTTATCTTCATTCTCTGCCACTTCTGCGGCTCTCTTCACTCTTCCAGAACCAGCTGGGTCTGAGTTGAAGCTGCAGGTCCTTGGGCCTTTGTGGCAATGGCTCCGATTGACCAAAGAGATGGCCTGCAGGCTCTCTCAGACAGCTGTAATATTTTTCATGACGCATATCTGTGTCTACTTCCTGCACAAAAAAAGAAGGGGAAATTGTTTTGAAACGGTTATATTTTCTTGTCTAGGCCTCTGTCAGAAATATAAATTACATCCTGCCTTCCACAAAGGCTATGCTTCTGCCCCCCCCCCCCCCCACACACACACATAAACTGCTGCTATCGGTCCATTTGGACCTCAGCTATCAACTTTTTCCACAGCATGAGAATTGGTAGAACAGTAGGTGTGGAGAGGCAGGGTAATCCCCAGTGCTTCTCTGAAACTCATGCCTGGGCTAAAGCTGAAGCCTGCATGCAAAGAGGAGATGGATAAGAGGGGGATTGGGCTGAGAACAGAGGATCGGCAGAAGTGGAGCTGGCTGGGCAGGCTGTCTCACACAGCTGGTGCTCCGACTCCCTGCTGCTACCACAGGACCGAGTGAACGCTGAGTGACACCCCTGGACTGCTTCCGGCACTCGCCGGCCTCAAAGGGGGTTTAGTGCCACGCCAGATGAATGTGCTGCCTACTTATTTGTTGACTCTGCAACTCCAAGACTTCTGGGACCCTGGCTATGGCCTAGATCGGAAACCCGTAGTGTTGTAAGTCAGGGTGGTCTCTCCTGGGCTAAGGATGATTCTCGGTTTTCATCCACCGGATTTTATGGTAGCAAGTAATCTAAGAAATGCAGAAGTATCACTTACCTAGATGTATGTGAATCGCTAAAAGCTAAAGTAAGCAAATGTATACTTATAAAAGACTTTTTAAAATATTTCCGCCTGTAGTTGAGTTGTCCCCCCCCCCCGATAAAATCATGCTCTGTATTGATTCAAAACGGCACATCACGTTATATTTTTCAATATGTGACGATTCTGTTGGGAGTTCATAAACCAAGCAGGAACGTGGTCATGGCGTCCTGGAAGAGCCCTGACTTTAGCACACCCCCCCGCCAACAAAAATTATATAATATATAAATTATACAATATATAAATACAAAAATATAAGCGACAAATAGAAAAAAAATGCAGTATATGAATTATTACACTATTGTCTTTATGCTTTAGTCTGCACTATTTCAATATACGCATAATATTATACTTATAAAGAGATAAAAAGCTGCATACTTTTATCTTCACATTTCTCATCATCTTTTCTGGCCACTTGATGGCTTAGACCAGGGCTCACCAACATGGTGCCCGCGGGCACCAGGATGCCCCCAAGGACCACATGAGTCGCCACCTGTTCGAAAAATAGCGCAACTCACTAGTGAGCAGCATCTAAAATTTAATTTTATCCTGTTGCTACTCTTCTTTAATCACATTTGCATTTATATAGATTTGAAAATAATATATAAAAAAAGCATTTAAAACATGTTTATTATACATGAAGTTTAGATAAGTTTAGGATAGTGTTTCAAACTGTTAGCCCTTCGTATGGCTCAGTACCCATAAAGTATCTCTCAGTTTCAAAAAGGTTGGTGACCCCTGGAGCATAAAACCATCCAGAATCACTGACAATCAAGAGTAAAAACAAAAAAAAAAATGCAATAATATGCCTGTGCAACTATATATTCACAGTATTATTAATAAATTGTGGTTTATTTGGTGTGACTGATTAGACTAATTTCATTGTAGATTATAATAATACATAATAATACATTAGTACTGTACAAAGTTAGAGGTGCGCTATCTGATAGATTCCCACGCTCCTCCTACAGTACCTCGGGCGACCTGAGGTCAGTGCACCCACGCCCCCCCCATCTCGTAGCCTAGCTCACAAATTAGAATCAGGGCGTCCACTCCAACTAGGTTAATTGCCCCTCACGGTGACGTTGTGCCGTGCAAATGAACGATAGAAAACCGATCGTTCAAATGTCACCAATTTATTATTTTTTTTTTTTGCGAGCGCGTGTTGCCCCTGTTGCCCATACCTAAATCCACCAGTGGGCCACGTATAATAAAATATATGGGTACATCATTGGAGAAGGTTGTTATTTAAATAACAGCCATTAGGTTAAGTGTTCTCGATAAAATGAAGCAAGGGTTCGAGAAATTATGATTCTTCACAGTATTATGGACAGGCAGGCGGCGCCCACCACGAGACTTGCCTCGAGAGAAATTAGTGAGCGCGTGACAACCACGCGGATCACCAGCCGAAGAACTGGTTTAAAGTTAAACCTGATTAGAAAATATAATTCTTACCGTATTTACGTGCCTTCATATAAAGAACCTGGAAAAACCACCCTTATTTATTTACTGAATATCGAAATATTGTATGGAAAATAAAGACGCTGACACTGCGAATTTTAATGTAAACTTTCCCGTTGAAAATGTCGTCGTTGAGGGTACGTTTGGGATGGAAAACGGAATACAGGTAATTGGCTATGAAATACGCTTTCCTGACATTTTGAAAGACCTGAGTCAGGAAAATGGTTATCGCTGACAGGAATCGTTTCAAATATAGTAAGTACCCCCCCCCCCCTACCTATTTTACCTAATTTTACTAAAACATTAACCATTAATTTTGCTGTTCTTCAGCATATACCGTACATTTCTACTTTTCCAGAACTGCGACAAGATTCTCATCCATCATATTTATACGGTTAAACACGACGCTCGGCCAATGTTTACAAGTAATTGGTAACACTTTAGTTCAAGGTCTTCCCTTTAACTATTAATAAACTGTTGCTATCAATTTGATAAAATACCAAATTAAATAACAAATGTTATAGTAAATAATAATGTTATTCTTGTCTTACAAAGTATTTACTAAACAGCTTCGCTCATTTCCAATAGTACATTAATTTACAAATATGCTTATGTCCACTAACCTATTGTTTTATATTTGCGGATTTACAAACTGTTTTGTAAATACCAGTAGCAAGATATGATTGCATTAGATACATTTCTTGGTAAATGTATCTTATTATGTATTATTATAATCTACAATTATTAGTAACATCCTATTATTAGAACAGACAAACTACAGTGTTACGCTATAATTCATATAAAATTTATTATCTTAATATTAATTCATACACATGTATTTTGTAAAATTTCGAGCTTTTTGTAGTTTTTAAAATGAGATTCTTCCTACGCATATCCAACACAACTATACCTTTGCCATAACAATTTAGACCCCTGAATTTATATGTGGGTGAATATTTTTTCATGGTTAGATTACACATAAATTGCGAATTTATTGTGTTTGTGTACTGTATGTGATGGGCTGTGACTTCTTTGCAACCTGGATGATGGGTTGAAAGATGGATGCATATATATATATATATATATATATATATATATATATATATATATATATATATATATATACACATGTACAATCACTCTCTACGCCAGTATTCCTCAAACCAGTCCTCAGGGACCCCCCACGGTTCACATTTTTACTCTCTCCCAGTTCCCTTGGAGTTTGGAGAGAACAAACCTGTGGACTATCTGCGGGTCTCTGAGGACTGGTTTGGAGTGTAGTTGGCTTCAAGTCATTTTAATCCTTTTTTTTACATCCTTTAATAAATGCACATCATGCCAAACAGTATTGTATGAAACCTCTTTAATGTGGATATATTCTCTATACATTCAATTAATGTACATCTTTGACATTTTTGTATCTCTCGTAAGTCCAAAAATGTCAGGTGCCACAACTGTTCGAAGAAATGAGCAGAGTACGGAAACTATTAAAACTGGGAGTTAAGTAATTAAAAATTTTAATTAGTTAGGAATAATCCTGTTATTGAAATCTTTATACTCATGAAAAATTGTAAAACACTGTGGTTTTAAAATTGTTAATTCATAAACATTTTGTCCACAAACCTACATTGCCTCAAATGTCAGATGGCACAACCAGGAAGAGTGGGCTTTTTAAGTCACTTTAGAAAATAGTATACAGGATGTTATATCATTAAGAAGTCCTTAAGTGATCTTCATGGTGAGTTGAAAAAGTTAGTAGGTATCACATATTGGCATTGAAATGACCATTTTCAACTTAAGGTTAGACTTGCAGTTTCCGTGTGAGCTGATACAACCCGTGGGAAACCGTGACAATATGGTAATATGATAACTAGCTCTTTATTTGTAAGTTTTTTAATTGTATGTACTGTATAAACTTAATATCAAGGACAAAATTTCTGTCCAAGAAGGTGACTCTTTAATTTGAAATGAGCTTGAAAGGTCAGGTAACACAGTCACAATAAATATTACTACTAATCATAAATGTATGAAAAAAAACAACTAGCAATTAATAACTTCCAATGCACTGCAGATATGATATGAAGAATTTAATTTGGAAAAAAATATAATTGTAAACTAAACATGATTTTGGCACCTAACATTTTTCTGGTGATGAAAGTCGTATTTGTCATTCACCCAGTAAATAGGTGAATATATTTTAACATTTGTGCTTTTTTTTGTAGAAATAATTTTGGTAACAACTGGCCTTGTTTTTCTCTAAGTGTCTTGTTTGGCCAGAAGACTGGACTCAGATCAGGACGTCATGATCCTCACAAACCTGCTAATGGCTCCACCTCTGCTTCAACAGCACTGCACCAACAGGTATGATTCTATTCTTTTGCATCCATGGATCCCTCTGCTTATAAATCCACTTTAGCTGTCAGTTGCTGGATTTTCATTTTCTAAGATTGAGAGCTAGTAGCTGCTATGTGCTGTTGCCATAAGGCTGTAGGCCTTGAGGGTGAAATGAGGTCACTGAGAGGGGTCTTCAGACTTGATTGCCCTCCGAGGTACAGCCAGAGCAGTTTCCCTCTTCCCTCCACTTCAGGGTGATGGACGCGCCTTGTCGTGGGCCATCGTTAAGGTTCCTTAAGGACCTCGTAAACGGTGCTCGCGAAACACCTGGGTTGTTTTAAAACATTTGGCAAATTAGCAAGGTCGTCACACCTGGGTCCAGAGCACGTCATTAACACTAAAGAGAAGTGGCTCGGAAAAGGGCTTTCTGGCATATCCGCACTCTTCCACTCAGAAACATGGGTTCATATTTTTTTCCCCGGTGTCTGCCTGTCATTTCAAACTCGATTACACCTTACTGTGGCAGTTTCTGCCTTTATCTACCACACCTCATCAAACCGAGTCTAGCGCTCATAGCCTGACCCCCTTTGCTAACAATCACTCCATCATTCTCACTAATGACGGCCCATTAAATTGTCACTCTGGCCAATAACTCAGTAGGTAAATGAATGAAATATGAACTCCTGATCTTAATCCTGGATGTCCATGTAAAACTAGTTAAGGCAGAATTGTATTTCTGAGAAAATCAGTACAGTGTCACAGCCAAGCTTTATCTAAAGATAAGGGAGAAACAGCACTGTAGCTGCCCATTAATTTATATGCATTAATTCTGTATTAAAATCCTTGTGCAGTTATTAAGCAAGAAACTAAACACTCTTGCTTCTTCATGTTTTTCTGTTACAGTATGGATGTTCAGTCCCCAGCAATAATAGACGTGGAGATTTTTAATGGCAATGTTTAAACTAGGAATCACGCTGATTTGCATCGCATAACTCTAGGTGATGTTTACGTATAGTGAAAGCTGAGCATAAACACCAGGTTCGATATCCCTCATTACAGGGAGTATTCAGCTGAAAACTCATTTCACCTTATCTTTCTGCTTTTGTGAAAAAAAGGTAAGATTACGTCATCTACTGGTATTTAGTAAGCGTGGCTAAATGTGTAATTTTACTATGCTTTTCAGAATGAAAGCAGCAAGTGTTATCTTTGTAATTGTTTAAATATGTATGCGTGGAATATAATTTTAAGCGTATCAGCAGCTTGTTGCCTTTGTGCGTGTTTAAGGAGCTGTGTTTAAGGGGATGCTGAACAGGCAAGGTGGAATCGAATGGTTCCCCTACCCTAGGGACTAGTGCTAGGGTGTCAACCTAAATTGAACACTATTGTCTGCAAACAAGCAGGATGGTCTGTCTGTAAGGGCCCATTTTCTTTCAAATTTAATTTGCTGATAGTGCAGCAGACCATCACCGGTCATTAAAGTCCGAATCAGGGGTGCAAGATACCATTTCACCCTGTCTGTTATGGCTGGAGGGGTGCTTGGCATGCAGTGGGCTGCTAGAGAGCCATTTGAGGCTTGGTCCTCAGGTGCTGTCGGGCCCTGTCTTCTCAGGTTAACCTCAAAGCATCGCTGATGGCAGCAGTCGTGCTCACTTGACTCCCACTTTTCTCCACACTGCTGGTACTCACAGCTGTACATAAAAAATGCAGCCTTGGCCTTTGTGTCTACACTTATTACTGGTGGTTTTTCAAGCATCGGTTTTCCTGGCATGCGTCATCTACCCAACTGTGGTTCCGCGTCTCTGTAGCTGAGTCCACCGCCTGGACCCAGAGCTGTGAGGAGGCATAATAACATTTTTTCACCCTGCTGTGTGTTTAGCATTTTGGAGAAGGTGTGTCTTTCATGATGGGTAAAGGTGGGTGATGATGCAATGCATGTGGAAGACATGAGCCGTGGTATATAGTGGAAATATGGTAGGTAAATGGCACCTTTGGACTGCTAGAAAACCAGGGGCTGCAGACTATTTGTCTGTCAATCTAGCTTCACAGGAGGAGGAAGCCAAAGGGAGAATGTGAAAGCTGAGAGCTGGTCAGCATTAGAACCCGGTACCTTGATGCCGTGAGCCGCTGTGTACCGCAACCAGGAGATGGAAAAAGAGGCAAAACGATGACTCACCCCCCACCCCCACAACACGCACACACTGAATTGCTGCTGCTTCACCACCTTAGGTTTTTTGGCTCATCGCTGGATCCATCAGTAAGTCTCTAATATCTGTGTACAGTGAATTTAAAAACAATATCGACTCAGTGGGCTCTGGGATCATTAATCAGACTGCATAAGTGCAGTTATATGGGTCTCAGGCTTTTTCTGTAGATCCAACGTCCTAGAGTCCTCCTCACCCCCCAACGACCCCACTCTGGCCATCACTCCAGATTAATAAATCTCCTTTGCAAAAATCCATCAAGCAGGTATCATTTTCGTTGGCTGTTGGCCCCCATGCAGAATGACGGTGTGTGGTTCATCTATCGACCCACTGTATCGAGCTGTTGGGTGATTGCTGCGGTAATCAGCACTTAACGTTGACGCAGAGTGCCAGGCTTGAAGGCACACCTCCATGTCTGGGCTAAGGGCAATGAAAGAGATGTTTTCTGTGAATTCTTATTTGCAGCCAGTTAATTGTGCTACCTCCCCCAGTTAATTGTGCTACATCCTCTGAAAGCTTCTCACCAGCACATTTTGCCTTTTGAAGCGCCTTCTTTCAAAATCTGATTCACTACATCACTTTGGCATTCACTTCTTGCACAAAATGGGCTTGTTTTGCCATAAGTCTGTTCTTCTGACCTTTGGCTTCTTTTGTTTTGCTGTAATTAACAAATTTATTTAAAAACGTTCAAAACTGGGAGCACTAAGCATAATTTTTCCTATAAAAGCTTGCTCCAAAAAGACTACCTAATCGTAATTTGAGGAAAGTTCAGCGAGCGCAGAGCGGTGCCTCGCAATCACTGACATGGTTACAGATAGCAGCTGCAAGCCTTTAGACAGTAAGAACATGGCTCGCTGCACTTGGCCATTGTGTGATACCGAATGCAAAAGGATACAAAATGTACTGATTTATGCACTATTCTATTCTATACTGCATGTACCCAGATACCTCTAGCCTTTATGTGGTGTTTTTTTCTGCATTGTGTCTGCAGCTCTGCACAGCTGTGAAAATACGTCTTTTCATTTTCATTATTCTGGTGTAATTTGGGTTGTGGCATTTTCAATTGCAGATGCAGGTTTCAGCTCTGTCAGTCATATGTGTCTGCATATATCTACGTTATTATGGAATTATATACTTGTATTATTGTATCCTCTCATTTTTTTTTTCATTTTATTTTGTTAATTTCAGGCTTGAATCCTGAAGGATTTTTCCTGCCACTGTAACCATCAGGTTGTGAACCATGTTCTGCCACAAAGTGCAGCTCCATACTGCATCTGTCTATAACACCGCACCATGCAGTGTAGCCTGGAGTTGTGTGTGGTCGGGGAGGGTGTATGAGAAGCTTGGGGCACACTTGCTATTGCATCCACTACCCTTGCCTTGTGTTCCTTAGCTCACATTCCTCGCAAAGCACAAAGGTCATGGGGCAGTGGGAGACGTAAACACCAAGCATGTTGCCCCTCCGTGGAGCTGACTGTACGCCTGGCTAAGAGGGTCACGACCCCACACTTGGTTCGGCAGGTGCTCAGGAAACGCCTAATGATTCACTGCCTAATTACTACAAGGAGGTGTTTGTGTTCCCAAAGTCACGCTGTGTGAATAAGAGAAAAAACAAAAACAAGCAAGTCCTTTACTCATCTGGGAAAGCACCCCTCCTCCCCCAAGGTGCCGGTCAAAAAGCCCCCCTTTGAATATTTGTGTAGATCACCGCTTTAACTTTCTTCTTCCCTGCTCTGTCTTTGCTTCTGGCTGGCAACACATAAAGTAGTGATTATCCCTTTGATGGTAGCTGACAGAAATCGTGGAATCAAGGACACTCTGCAAACCACGGAGGGTCACATGAGTCACGTTGTGATGTGTGTGTTTGCTGATTTCTCGCAATACCTCCCAGGCCAAATGATTGAATTATAACCTTCAAAAAAAGGAGGTGGAGAGAGGAGCAGGGTGAAATTACGACACACAAGCTATCTCAGGGAGACCTTTGCCTTTCCAAAATGTTAGTGATGAACATGTGACCCACGCTGCCATCATGAATCGTGCATCAGTCAGTGTAATGAATGTGGACATTTGATGGCTAAACTGGCTGATAGATGCACTGGCTCTTGGAAGATAGAATTCCCTTTCATCTTCATGCCTTATCTAGCTTTATCAATGGACAACATTCAGATGGGACCCAAAGGATGGTGAATCTTGACCCAAAATACAATAGCATTGCTTGGAATGGTTCTGCACAAATAAAAGAGCAAAAAACTCTCAATATATTTAGGTTTTTCAGCATTTTTCACTAAATTACAATGCATGGCAAGCTGTAAAAATATGTAATATTATATATAAGGAATATATAAGGATTATATGTAATCCTTGGTCAACCTGTTACTTTTTTAATCACTGATTTAATTTTTTTGTTGAAATTAATGTCCCTTCATTTGAATTTGTTATTTCAAATTTGACCCATTATTTTAAAATTTTTAAACAATTATCAAGCTGTCAACCAGCATGGGAACTGGAATCACGATGTCCACAGCAATATACGCAGGGCCAGCACATCTTGGGCACTGACATGTTGGTGGCGGAAGGATGTGGAGCGCCAGTCTGGGTGCCACGGAGACTGCCTCTCCAACTTGATGTGGCGTGACCGCCCGACCTGCATTCTCTGCCACCTGAGCAGGGGTGCAACAATCAGAGTGACCACCTGATGCTCTTGCTGTCCTCACGTAGCCCCTGGTGACATCATTTCACTGATAAACTTTTTTTGAAGTTTAATATAACCATCCGTTGCTTGTCTGATTACCGCTGACTCCACTTTGGGACACGGGAGCATTGTGTTTTGACACAGATTATGACTGATGAGGTGATCCTTCTGCTGGACATGTTGTGCATGGTTGCATTATAAACCATGTGCTAATTCCGGGATTCTGTATTCCTCAATGTTTAGAGCCACTCACTGTGACAAAGATACTGACAGGCACATATTTCACCCAGTCATTAACGTGAATCGACGTCATTCTACACGCAGTGGGCCTCCCCTCCTTAATTCCCCCAGCTGCTCCCCCACCCCTCCACGCCTGCCATCTAGTTTGATTCCCTAATAGTGTTTATCATCATCCTGGCTTGAAATTAATTTGGAATCTCTCTTCATGCTCCTGATTTTGAAATAATTAAGAGAGGCAGGGCTCCGGAAAGGCACTGCCCTATCAGCCTGTTCCTCCATCCACTTCTTCGCTAATTGCTCTGTGTGGGCCAACTCATGGGTGGATGGGCAGAGGAGGGTGCTGCAGGTGGACAGTGGCTGTAGGTGGGGGCTCAGGCTGGAAACTTAAGCTGCTTGTACCTCCTCGTGACTCTCATCACTTGACACCCTGTTACACAGTGTTCTTTTGATGCTGTTTTGCTTTCATTCATTCCAGTTGAAAGCAATGCCCCCCCCCCCCAAAAACATCTGTGAAATGTGAGAAAATATTAATGGGCCAAGCACCACATGTGTGTCTTATAAAGGAGATGTTGTTCATATGCTCCCATTTTGTGCGAGGTTCACTTTCTGTTCAGTAAGAGACCGAGTTTGCGCTTCCGTATGCAGCGCCAGTCAAATGATAAATGCTCGGAATGGGTATGACAAACAAACCGAATCCTCACAATCGTGCTCCAGACGCGGAAGACGGCAGCGTCAAGGCGCACGACAGTGTATAACAGCGGACCACGATGGCATCGCTTTCATTTCCGCTTCGTGGCGGCTTCAAGCAGAGCCCTGCGGAGCCACAAGCCTGTGCACTGCGTCGATAACCTTGAAGAGAGGTGGAATGAATTTCCTTTCAGAACTCCCACGGTTTCTGCCAGATCCCTGTCTGTCTAGGGAGCCGAAATGGATTTGCCTACGATTTTTCACTTTCCTTCCTCTAACTAGTGATTCTATCCATACTTGGCTCTACAAGTCTTTTGTTAATATTGTTAGGGAGCCTGCATTATTCAGCGTGTATCAAAAATTTATCCAGTTGAAAAATGAAAATAAGACAAAAAAGGAAAGTTAAATGACTTTGGACTGTTTTGCTGGCATTGGGCTAGTCATCTAAAAACTCACAGTATGGATTCTGTATTGGAGCAAAATGTTTTTTTTGT